TTCTATATATCAGGAAAATGAATAGTAATGTGAACCTTTAGATGCTTACAATTAATATCTGGACTCAAAAACTAGTTACTTTTAATGGAACACAATAGGCTGTAGGAGCCTCAGGGAACTTATATTCAGAAATGGTTATATTAGACTCAGAGTTAGCTAGAAATTATTACAAAGTATTTAGAACAGATGTCTAGTACAAAAAGCAAAAGATTTAAAGCAAAATGATTTATATTATTTGAAAAAGTTGTTTTACGTACATTTTATCATAATTTAAGTAGAACTTTGTAAAGCAAGGGAAACGTGTTGAATTAAGCACAATGAACTCAATCTTAAAAGAATAACTAACAGAAGAGAGGTTGTCACTATTGTGAAGGTGACAAAATATCTGTAATATTGAACATGGAGGTCAAAAAATGCTGTTTTAAGTAAAAAGAGTTTGATGAACAAAAGTTACAATGACTGCGGGATGCGAACCCGGATCTCTGCGGCGAATTGTCACGTATCTAACTGATTGAAATATACAATCTTATACTTAAATTTATATCTTATTAAAATTAAAGACTCTACATACCTTTTAAATCTGCTAGAACTTTAGTAACGTGCACACTTTTAGAAATTATTGAAATAGGTATATTTTATCAGAAATATGCTTAAGCTAAAGCATATTTTTGAACCTCTTTTTACTATTTGCTTAAGCATATTCGAACCTGTTTCAAAAATTTCATATGCTTTAAAAAAAAAACATGTATATTCCTACCCATCATTCTTATTTTTAATATGCGTAATGAGTTCAAAAAACATCTTTGCATATATTTATTATGGCACGTTTCGTAAGTTTATTTTCGTTAAGAATTCTTTCGTATGTTGTGATCCGAAATACTTTCGTTTCGAAAGAAATTTTATTTTTTATCAATATTTCTAAAAATAAAACCATAAAAATTTAATAGTTATTATACTGAAAATAAAAATTCATTATAAACATTTTGGGATATAAAGATGTTAATTTTTTCAATTAAAATCAGTCTGGCCAAGGCCTTCTTAAACAGGCCGCGACAGCTCAATTTCCGTAAAATTAGCGAAGGCCGACTTTTTTACGGAGAATTAAAGTTTCAATGAGGATTTTGGTTGTTTGATTTAAACTATAAGTTATGGATTAAAAAACTTCCAAATGCAAACTTTGTGTTTACAGATTATAAGCTAATTTGTGCTCAGCACTGGCCTAAAGATGCAGAATTAAAAAAAGTCAAAGGTGGTTGTTTTGTTCCAGTGCATCCTCCATCAGTCTTTAAAGGTATACCAGTGTCTTGTATTCCAATAGTGTCTAGAAAACGAGATGTCACTGGGTTAATATGCTCTGAAAGAAATAATTTACCTGATGAGTTCGAAAAATTCAAAAAAATGGACGTTATTAAATTTAATTCAATTGTTAAAAATTTGAAGTCAATAATAAATAACTGTGAAGAAAAATTTTATTTTGTTGAAAAAGAAAAAAATATATGTTTAATATCATATGAACATTGTGGACCAGTACCTAAGTTTTCAATATATATAACTTTAGAAGATTCTGGAGATATTTATTTTACTGGATAAAGCCAACTTTTACAAATTAAACTGTCTTTTTTTAAAAAAAGGAGTTAATAAATATTATTCTCAACTGGAGAATGCTGTTAGTTATGTTATTAATAATGAAACAGATTCTAAGCGAGCAAGTTATATTAGGCATTAAGTAGCTTTAATAAATAAAACAAACAATACACCATTTTCTTTAGAAGACATTTCTGAAGCATTGCATCTTTATTCAAAATCTCGTTTAGTATATTTTGATCTCGTTGAAAAGCTTGTTTTGCTACAAATTCTACAACAAATTTTCAAACAAGCGTGATAGAAGAGATAAATCAACAAATCATAATTGCAGGTGGAAAGCCTCTTGGGTTAATAATGGATAACTGTTGAGTAAACCAAAAAACATTTCAATATTTTAATGCAAAAAAAGTTCCAGCATACTATCTTTTAAATGACACTGTGCATATTTTAAAATGTATTTGAAATAATTGGATCACTAAACAATTACAATGTTTAAAATATAGATTGCTAAATGATAACGATACTGTGCGACTTGCAGAATGGAAATTTATAATTCAACTTCATGCTGCAGATAGTCGAATAGTTAAGTTGTCACCCTTAACACAAAAAGCTGTGTCACCAAAACCGATTGAGCGACAAAATGTTGGATTAGTTCTTAAAGTTTTTTGTGATGAAACAGTTGCCGCATTACATGTATAATTTCCTGAAGCTGAAGATACTGCACTTTTTATTGAAACAGTTGTTAAGTGGTGGCTTATTGTCAACAGTAAAGCAAAAGGTCTAGATATTAGATTAAATGATATTCGAAAAAAGCCTATTTCTTCAGTCAATGATTGGCAAATAGATTTCTTAGAGAACTATATTTCGTATTTTGCTGAAAATTTGAAATGTGTAAATTCAAAATTAAGAGAGAAATAGTTAACAATGGATACTGCAAGTGCTTTGCAAAAAACTTCTAAAAGATTAGCAAGCTGTGCCAAGTATTTGTTGAATTGCGGTGTATCTTATGTATTGTTAGGACATATGCAATCAGATGCACTAGAAAAACAGTTTGGGAAATATCGGCAAGGGTCAGGTAGCACATATCTGATAACTGTGAAAAATGATATTCAAAAATTTAGAATCGACAAAACTAGAAAGTTGCTAGACAAGCATACAGATTTTACAATATTTCCTCCTGCTCACCACCACTGTGATAAGTGTGAATTTTATGTTGAGTTTAATATGTCAATATGTGAAAATTGTGAGGATCACTTGCCAAATGAATGCAAACAAGGGCTTTTATATATTGCAGGTTTTATTGCTTACAAACTTCCAGAATTACACTCAATTTTAGAAGAAACAGACACCTTTGATATGTTTCAAAAATATGGAACTTTGATCAGTTCTTTGAACAGGGGAAGCCTTCCGACAATTTAGTCTACTTTGTTTTTTATTGTTTTTTTATATTTGAAGTGACACTTGTGAATAAAGTTTCACCATTGCTGTGCAAGAAAGGATTAATTGACATTTTTATTAACTGCAATAGTAAATTTCAATTGCTTGTTCAAAGTGTTAAAAAAGTTTGCTGCATTTTGGCAAACATTTTTTTAAACAATTATTGTAAAAAACACTCTAAAGATTTTGGGAAGGAATGTTTAATAAAACAAGCAAAACTTTTAACTTGAAAATAAAACACTTTGAGTCAAAAAAGTCAAAATAATTTTAATAAAATAAAGTTAATATATTTGTTTGTTTTTATCAAAAAATTTATTATTTGTATTACAAGTGTTAAACAGCTAAAATAAACATATAGTTATAAAAACGAGATTTAGTCATTTTTAGCTAAACTCCTTAAATTTTTATTGTAATTAACTTATTTCTAAACGTAAAAAAAATTCCTACAATATTTGCTTTCGAAATTCAATCAATATGTTTTGTCCTAATAAAGCTCTTTATTTGTTTCTGAAGTTTGTTTACAAAAGCAAAGATAAAAAATAATTTTAACCGTAAAAAAGTCGGCCTTCGCTAATTTTACGGAAAATGAGCTGTCGCGGCCTGTTTAAGAAGGCCTTGGTCTGGCAAACAAATTTTCTTTATAGACTTCAAAACGTCGTTTGGCGAAAATGTTTGTTTCGCAAGTGCGACTTCCAAAACCGCAAAATAGTTGCAAAATAGTTTTGTTTCGTATGTCAACTTGTGAAATGCTAAATTTCGGAAGTGGCTTTTGCGAAATGAACATCGGCGATTTTAAATGTTTTGTAACATTCGGTACGAAAAAATGTAATTCCGTGTTCTCAATCTCCTTACGAAAGAATGTTGTTTTTCCGGAATTGCACGAAATCCTCCGGTTAACAGCCCTAGTAATTATACGTTTAATTATAAGCTCAACTATTGAATTTGTTTGTTGTACCTTTGTTGGCAGTTTTTTTTTATGGAATGGTAGATTTAATTAAAAGGAATTAATACTAGTTATTTTAAATTATAAAAATAAAGTTATTTATTAATTATATGATTCCAAAAAACAAACTTAAATAAGACTGCTGCAATTTTACTTTAGTTCTTTTCCATGCAACATTTTCTACTTTCTCCCAAAGAGTTTTCGACAATATAAAAATATCTGACCAATAATAACTGGTTGTTGAAACTTTTCTCCATTAAGCAAAAACAAGTGGAACAAGATCATTTGCGAGGGTTTTGGTGTTTATTCTTTTGTTCTTGTAATTATACGTTTAATTATCGCAGTGGATAGCCTACCGAAAGTCGGTAGCGGAAAAATACAAATTATCCTACCGAAAGTTTTTTTTTATTGGTTAAGAAATATCACATGTCACAATAAAATTGCTATATAAATATACTTTTAACTACTGCAATTGTAAAATTCAGTAGTGTATCAGATGCAAACTTGGAACCGTATGCAGGCGCTCCGGGTTCGAATCCTTCCTAAGGAATGATTTTAACATTTCTAGGTTTTATTACGCTTATTAATTGAATAAATTATTTAGGGATATACGCTGGGGATAGCACAATGCATTAATAGACGCAATGAATTGTTTATACACTGACTGATTTAGGGGTAGGCACCGAGGAATGTACATGCATTTACTAATTTAGGGATTGGCGCAGTGAAGTGTACATACATTTACTAGCTTAGGGATAGGCGCAGTGAAAAGCACATACATTTACTAATATAGGGATAGGCGCTGTGTAGTGTACATGCATAGACTGAGGGTTTTGGTATGGGGTGGCAGTCATTTCTATTTATTTAATGGAAAATCCTATTTAATTTTTTTACATTTTTTACGTTTTTGTTTTTTAAAAATAATATCTTAAATTATCTTCATTTTACGGTATAACAAATATTGTTTATTTTGACATGTGATATTGTCAACCAATAAAAAAAACTTTCGGTAGGATAATTTTTATTTTTCCGCTACCGACTTCGGTAGGCTATCCACGGCCATATAAATATATACTTATTTGAATTATATTTACGTTAAGAAAAAAGAGAACATTTCTATTAACAAAATTATAATGGGTATATCAAATTAAAAGATCTTTATTATTTTTTTTTTCTTTTTTAAATATATATAGATAGCTAGAATGTTTGTACTTTATGATTCAAAATATAAAAAATAAAGAAGAATTCAAGGAGCCCTTTACTGTTTGTTTTTTTAATTCTATAAACTACAATTTAATTGGATTATACGTATACTTTTTTGTTTAATTGGATATATGTATTTTTTTTTTGAACTTTTGGACATTATTTAATTGGGTAATATTTTTAAAAATCAAAATGTATATTTTTAAAAATCAAAATGTTTTAATGAATGAACTTCTTTAATAAAAACTCTTTAATTTGTTAGTTTCTAGAATATAAAAAGTTATTAATGTAATTACTGAAGATGTTTTAGCTTACTCATTTTGTTATTATTATTTTCTTTTGTTATTGTTATTTATTTTATAGATTAAAGTTATTTATTTTATAGATTATTGTTATACCAGTATCATGTGAACTATATACAGGTAGGTTTTTTTGACTTCTATTTTAGCCAATCAGTATAATTTTATTAGTCAGCTCATGGCCTACTATATTAAATGGCAGTATATGTTATATCTTCTTGAGAAGCCTCTGTACGTAACACAAAAAAAAAATGATAGCGATATATGAAAAAACTTAAAAAATAACTTATATATATATGAGTATATTACTATTTTAGAAAATTTATAAATTTTGACTGAATATCATGGTTAACAAGTATGTTGCATATGGTTGTAAAATTGGGTACAACAGTTCTTTGGAAAATATAAAAGTTGCTTTTTTTCATTTTCCGTTAAAAAATCAACAGTTGTCAGGTATGAAACCAATAACACGAAATCAAGGACAAGATTATACATAAAAATAAATTGTCTTTTTTTTGTTTTTTTACTAAAATGAGCTATTTACATAAGTATAGATGAATACATAATTTAAAAGGGTTTAAGTTTTTAAAAAATAAAAATGAAACAAGTGTCAGATCCCTACTTAAGAAATAAGTTTCTTGGCTTTTAAATGCCTTTCTCACTGTGTTTCCATCATTCGATGTACCAGAGCCATCACTTTTTGGTACATCAACAATAAGTATAAGAATAAGTCTTCTTCTCTGTCCAATATGTACCAGGTACTGTATATGAAAGAAACAAAGATTTTTTAACTGTAACTGGCAATCTGTCCTTTTCATTTTCAGTTCTCTGTTTATAAACAGACTGTCCAGATGAACCATCAAATCCAACTTTGCTTATAAGAAGAAGAGTGTTGCAAGGCTCAGGTAGTTTCGATTTATCCATAACTTTCCAAATTCTGTTTGTAGTGTGATCTATTATTCCTTGAAGATTCACAGAAATACTGTAGTTTGATGTGACAATACTGGAATCTAGAATGCAATCACTTTTAGCTTTCACAATAAAATTGTAGGCAGGGTGTAACATGCAACCTTTATCTAAGGTCCCTTGAAGAATAGTTTGGTAGTCTGCCTAACTCATTCTACAGTCTAACATTAAAGCTAAAGCTTTTTCTGCTGAGTAGCTTTTAGAGAATGATTTGACTTTTCATCAAATGTTTAATAAACTTGGCATTTTTAAATCATCCTTCATTATTGAGATTAAGAATAAGGGCATGAAGCAGAATTTCAGCGATAACGTCTAATTTTTCAGTAATCTCTGAAGATCTTCTTAACTTAGACCTTGTTGAGAAATCTTCAAATGATTTTAAAGGTGCACCTCGTTGTACTTTTTTTATCCAAACTTGCTGTTGAGGTTCATTTACAACAAGTTCCATATTTAACCATTTCTTATAACAATTTATAAATTTATTTTTTGTCTACCTGTCTCATTCCATTTCTTTTTAAAGTTTTTCATAAATTTTTTGATTAACCTCATCTGATTGTAGTTCGCATAACATTAATATATTAATATACAAATTTATGTTTTTGGTTTCCTTATTAATTAAACTTTAATGTTTATTCTCATACTTTCCTATAATTAAGTAATTGAAAATTTCTTTATTCCTCATATTTAAAATTGGTTTCAGTACAAAATAACTATTGAATATTATTTGTTTTGATTATTTTTAAACTTATTTAAAAAAAAATTAAATTTGATTTAAAAAAAACAACACTTTTCTCTTTTGATTTTTAAATATATTTTATTGTCTCAATTTTATCAGCATGACTCATCTGCATATCAGACTTTTTACCTGTAATTTCTGTGACTGTTTAACTATCTGAGTAGTTGGAATTTTTTAGTAAAAATACATGTGTTAAGCTTCTGGTATGTTTCTTTTCTTTATTTTTACACAATTTTTTGGGAAATACATCGATAAAGGTTATTCTTGCATAGAAGTATTGTATGAGGGCATGTAGTGAGGTCCATAAGTTTAATTTCAATATAAGTTCTTCTTTCAATTTTACTTTAGTTCTTTTCCATGCAACATTTTCTACTTTCTCCCAAAGAGTTTTCGACAATATAAAAATATCTGACCAATAATAACTGGTTGTTGAAACTTTTCTCCATTAAGCAAAAACAAGTGGAACAAGATCATTTGCGAGGGTTTTGGTGTTTATTCTTTTGTTCTTGTAATAAAATTCCTTTTTAAAAAATTGCTTTGTTTGTAGGCAGGTCACTAGGAATAAAATCCTTTCCAGGTCCAATAAACTCTGAAATTCTAGTGATGGATGAATGTCTAGTCTTCACTTTTGACATAATTTATGAATAACTCCATTAAATAACAAGTAACAAAATAAATAATAATAGGCCAAAATCTTATAATGATTTTAATTGGCGGAGAGCTAAGCTAAAATCTATTTTAAAATTGATTCGCCACTGGGCTCTTTATGAGAGTTTAATACATAAACGCAGGTTATGTTTATTTTATACTAAAATAGTTTTCTTTTCTTTTAATAATGTCTAAATGTGAAAATTTGGGTATCAAAACATTTTCTAATCAAAAAGTGGTTCATAGCAAACCTACCTTGATATTTAATTTTACATAAGAATATAATTTTTCCTAACCTTAAATTTTATTTTTTTCAAAAACGTAAGAATCTCACTGTACCAAAATATATATGTTTATATAATACGCAAAATGCTAGTATGAAAGAACAAAATGCCAGTTTTCTTTTTTACTCCTATTATTAATAATAACTATCTATATAGTCCATAGAGTAAACATATTATTCATCTATAGATGAGATAAATAATAAGATTACTCTATAGTTGTGTAGCTATCTTTTTAATAAATTGGTCTCTTTGAATCGGCCTCTAAAATATAACATAAATGGCCATGTAATATTGTAGGCCATGGTCATTACATAAAGTTTTTAATAATTTCATACTTTTTGTTAAACTTGTTTTAGTTACATATTAGTACATTAAAAAACCATTGTCTTTCTTTTTTCATATTTTTTGTAATTGTTTTCTAGTGTTATAATATGTCCGGATAAATTATTAATACAAATTCAAAGCGCATTTTATTGTTATTTTAACAATCATTAAATTAAAGACTCATGCTTATGTAACTCAAAAAACATTGCAAATATTTTTTGAGTTACATAAGCTTTTATGCTTTTAAAGTGTGCACACAAAATAAATGTGAAAGAATTGTCATTTTGTTTCAGTGGCTATATTAAAATCTTTTAGTTTTAGCATTAGTGGCTATATAAAAGAAATTTAAAACAAAAAAAAATGATTTTTTGCTTTTCATTTTTTATCTTGTTTTTTCTAATATCAATCTAATATAATTTATCTTACAAATCTCTTAATAAATATAAAAACAAAAGAATAAAAGTTTGTTTAATTTATATTGTAGATTTATTCTTCGTTGAGAAGATAGAAAATAACTACACAATGACAACTTTAAATGGTTTTGTGAATGATGAATTTGTCTTATCATTTCTAATCTTATCAACTGGAGTTTCAACCACATCTATTATTGCAATTAGTGATAAAAATGATAATATTTTCTGGAACTTGGATATTAAGAATAGTCATTTTTTAAAAATTACTTTAACTAATGATATTTTTGAAATTCAAATCACAGCTAATACATGGAGTTCAATCGTATTTTCTCAGTTTTTCATAAGTCATAACAATATTTACAATTATTCTATAGCTGTTAATGGAACTGTTCAATTTTCAAAAGTAAATACTCAACCAATGGTTTTCACTGATCTTATTTTGTATACTTTTTTTAATTGTCTATTCAATCCTTCCTTGAATATTGGATCAATTAAAAATCTATCAATTTACAGTCAAACACAAGGTAAATAGTGTTGCTGATAATTTACTTTTTAGTTATGTTTAAATGTTGATGTTTTAAATAATGTTTTATGTAGAAAATAATTCATTTAAATAAATAATCATTAAAGTATTTAATTAGTGAACTAATTGAATACTTTAATAACTTAAATAATTTTCCTAAAAATGAATATAAAGTTATCTTCTTCTAAGATAACTTTATATTTATTTTCCTTCCAACTTTGTGCATTATTAACACCAGAGTTTTTAGCAGCATTACTAATAATATTGGAGCTTGAGACAGATAATGAAGAATTCTCTAAGTTTTCTTTGATTGTGGGATGGTCCTCAATCAGTTTTTGAATATTTTTTGCAATTTAAGCACTGATTTTGGTTGTCCTTTCACCCCTGTACCTATGCAGCTGACATGACATTTATTGGTAGAGCTTTCACATTTGTATGTCTACATTTTTTTAAATGAAAAAATAATTTGTGATAAAAAATAGGAAGTACTGGAAGTATGGTATCAGATTTGTTTTGCAAAAGTATGATTTTTATAACTTTGTCTAAACCAAAAAATGAAAACCCTCCAAAAATTCAAAGCATTAAAAATAGTAAAGATAAAAACTTTATTTAATTTGAGTTTTATTTTTGTATACAATTAAGAAAAAGCAGGCACATATTATGAGGGTAAAGTTCTTTGATGACATAAATATATATCATAGATATAAATACAAGCAAAAGGAAATTTTTAATTTCCTTTTGCTTATATTTATATCTATGATAATCTATTATGAAGAGACTTATATTTTACATAACGAAATTAGTACCAGATTAGTACGATTAGTTAGCAGACGATTAGAAAAAAACTTCTTTAATAAAAATTGCAAAACTATTTTACATTCATTTGAAACTAAATTTTACATTCGATTTCCTTTACCATTACTTACTTTAATTTACTTCAAAACTAAATTTAAATCTTTAACTTTTGCATAAATGAAGTTAATTTGAATCTTTAACTAAACGTTGCATAAATGAAGTTAATTTGAATATTCCAAAAAAAAAAGTTTTTTATTAACTGAAACGTTTTCAACATTAACATTTACAAAAAAGTTTACAAAAAAATGAGCTGCTTAGCGATTCCTCAACAAGGCCTGTCAAAGTATTTTTTTATTGACAAATTTAGTTTTATTATCTCTAAATCCTTAAATAAAGTTTGTAAAAAATAAAAATAAAATATATAATGTTTAAATAAAAAAACTTTATAGTTTTAATTTAGAAAGTATTTTATTATATATGTTTAAATGCTCGTACGATTTTCTTATGTTCTAATTAATAATAGGTAATGTGGAAAACAAACTTTGACACTGTGACTTTAAAAATATAGTTTTATTATTATAATTCTATTATATACATATACAATATAAATATATATATATATATATATATATATATATATATATATATATATATATATATATATATATATATATATATATATATATATATATATATATATATGTATATATATATATTTATATATATATATATATATATTTATATATATATATATATATATATATATATATATATATTTATATATATATATATATATATATTTATATATATATATATATATATATGTATATATATATATATAAATTATATGTTATATATATATATATTCCATCTTGTGATGCCATCTTGTCACCTTTTTATTAAGTATTAACCATCCCGCCACCTTTTTTATAAATCTCTATATATAACAATGATTAGGCGGGATAGTATTTTTAATTATGGAATATCATCCCATTACTTTTCTTTCGCCACTTTGAGTACTATATATATATAGTTATGTTAGTGCATTCCATAAATAGAGTGTTCAATGTTCTAAAAGAGCAGAGCAATAATAAATTAGTAAAAACTCTTATCTTATATTTATTTTCAACAAGATGTTTCACCATCAGTAGGTTCATCAGGAAGAATGTCTAAACATTAAAAAAATTTGAATTATATGAAAAATATTTCATTGGAAGTTGAGAATTGTTATATCTTATTTTAGGTATTTTACAGCCAGGATGTTGCATCAACTACATTAAAATTAAAAATGAATCATGAAAAGAATTCTTTAGAATTAAGATAATTTTAGTCTGGTTATTTATTTTTATAATTTTTAAAAGGTACTTGTTACTTTTTTTCCTATGATAAAAAGTTTAACTTCATTACGGACATTACATGAAATTGATAAAACTCTACATTGTTGAGTAAAGAACATGAAACTGACATCTGCAAAAATGGCGCTAGAAATGTTAAATCTTTTTGCAGGTTGTGGTCATATGAAGTATACAAAATCAAATTTTATGCTCATCAGATTTATTCCCAAGTACCCATGGCTTGAAGATTGCTTAAATTATAAGAAATATAATGTATAATAATATAAACACTATTGGGCTGTTCAGTGTTCAGGATTGATTATAGAGAAAGTTTATGTGAATTTAATTTCTTCGTTTACAAGATTAAAAGAAACAACAATGAAAAAAATTTCCAATTTGAGCTAACAAAAGACCTAATTTTTAAAGATATGAAAACAAATCTTTTTTAAAAAATAGCTATTTAAAAAAATGCTGAAGTCATTGATATCAATATGATAGATGAGAGCATGACTACATTGCCTTCTACTCTGTGTTGTTTTGTTCAAAGCTGCACATTGTCAACTATATTTTTTAAACATGATTGACAATCTGGTGTTTTCAATCTGATTGCAAACATCATAAGCCCTTAAAACTTTCCTTTTTCACTTTTAAAGGTATCCCAAAGTGCTGAGACAAGTTGTGTTTATTTAAAAGAAAATGATACAAAAAATTAGTATGGTCAGAATTTTTTTAAAACAAAATAATAAATGTATACCAACAAAAACAAACTTTGTTGTTTTATTCGAAGTTTGCCCTCTTCACACTAGCAATTCTCTCAAAGTATTTAAAATATATCCTGAAATATCAGACTTTTTTCAATTTATTCAAGCGCGTTTAATTCCAAAGAGTTTTAGTAAATAATGTCATTGTAGAATTTTAATAAGAAATCTAAAAATTCTTTTTTTTTAATTAAATTATAGAATTTTTTAAAATTATTATTATAGATTACTAAAGAATTTTTTTAGTTACTTATTTTATATTAATGTTTTATTTTTCATCATAAATTACTGTAGAATTTCTTTAGTTATTTTATTTTCTAAATTTTGCATTAAAAGTATAAAGTATTTTAGATATTTTTAGCTCATCAATTGCTATAAATTTTTTTTTTGTTATATTTATTGTTAATAAATGATTATTATCCTTATTAAAATTCTGTTAAAAATCTATTTTTTATTATTCAACACTACCGCAAGCCGCTGACAGTAGTTTTTGATTTTTTCAATTTTTAACCACTAGTCACTGGTGGCAGCTTTTAAGTATGCTTCACAATTTGTTTTGTTATAAATTTTTACTCTAGACACATAATTCAGGCTTGGTCGGGAAGAGGGTGTGATCGCACTCAATAACTGACCACTGAAATAATATTTAGTTGCAAAAAACCGGCCAGATATTTTAGTCATTTTGAGAACATTTTAGTATATGTATGTTTCCTTGTTTGTCCGCAAAATAATAAATAGGTTCATTTTTTTATCGTAATTTTGTTTTATGGACATACATGGAAACATTCATAAGCTGGAAAGTTCTCAAACATCTTTGTGTGGAAAAATAAAAAAAAAATGTTCGCGAATGCAAAAAACCAGCCAAATCTACAAACAACTAATTCTATTGATTCCAAAAATACTAACAGAAATTTCTGGAGTATTTAAAAAAATACTAAACAAATGTTCTAGAGTATTCTGTTGAAATATTAAAAAAAATTGTATTATTTGAGTTTTGTTATGTTTTTGTTGATATTTCTAGCATAAATTGTTTTAAGAATATACTATCAAATGCATTATTACTTTAATTCTCGGAGCCACATCTACAAAGCTATAAATGTTTTAAACTAATATTATTTGTTTACAAAAATAAATGTTTATATACAGGTTAAGTAATATAAATAAATTTATATTTCTTAACTTGTCAACGTTTTGTAAATATATTATAGATTTTGTTAGTATATTCTTATTTTTTATATAAAAATGTATTTTTTATGCATGTAATATTATGTATGTGTATTTTATTCAAATGTAATCTTTTAAAGGATTTTATGTGATTGATTTTGTAAACAAATATACTTTCAATAATAGCTGCGTTTTCAATGAAATTATTAATAATCATCAAAGTTAATACAAATAATTTTAACCAGTAATCCATTTTCTTCAGTGTACCCGATAACTGATTCTTTCCCCCCAAGAAAGAAAAGTTTTTAAGTACATAGAAATTGGTTTACTAACTTCAATCATTTTTGCTTAAGCCATTCTTACAAACTTGTTATACTTAAACTTAAAGTTTTCTGTTTTAAATACTAATTAAAATTATATAACCTACTCACTAAACATCATCAGCAGTATTGTGAAGCAATTCTGCTTCCTCCTCACAAAGTAATTTAAGGTTTTTAGTTAATTTCTATCTAGTTAATTAGATTTCTACAGTAACTCAATGATTTAATTGTTTCATTTGTTCATCATACTAAGAAGAATTGTTTCAAATGTTTTAAATTTTTTAAACTACTCGAAGCATAAAATAGTTATTAAAAAAACTTATTTATTCATAAATAAATTATCTAGCGTTAGTTTTGTTAGTTGAATCTTGTTGGACTTTTCAGGGTCAGGAGCCGCATAATTTTGGTGGCCTTTTTTATGTGCCACAGCGTAAAAATGACTAAAAAAAATATTGAATGGTCCTCATGACTCTTTTGCAGACCCTAACATTAAGAGTCCCAGGGCTATAGCCCTTCTACCCCCTACCTCCTCAAACCAGGACTGAAAATAAGACATAAGTATATAAATAAAAATTATATATACTTTTTGATAAATCGAAGAACATTTGTTTCCATATTAAACAATCATTAATAGTAAGTTGTTACTTATATAAAAAATGTTGCCTAATTTTTTAAAAAAAATTATGAAAGAGCGACGTTTCAAAAATATTTGCTCTAATCGCATTTATTTTGCTTAAAGTTTTTTCGCTTTAAAAGCTATTTTTCTTTTTTTAACTGTCTCTCATCGGTTAATCTTATTGTGTTTTTCTGTTTGTTTTTTAAATGTCCTCAAAATGGCTAAAAAATCTGGCTAGTTTTTTGCAACTAAATATTATTATTTTCGTGGTCAATTATCAAGTGCAATTGCACCTCCTTCATGACCAAGCCTGATATTATTTGTTTGTTCTTAAGGTTTAATTAATTATCTACATAATCAAGAACAAAGAGGAGCCATATTGTGTTATTATAAAAAGTTATCATTAGACAAAGCTAAAAAATCCTAATAATCTTTGATTAAAAAAAACTTCTTTAAATGTTTTTGTAAAATAAAGCAGCGTTAACATTTTAAAATTTAACTTGTAGAAGTGTATAAGTATTTAACTAAGTAATTAAAAACGTCTTTTTTTCATCTTGAAAATCATTATTTTTTTACATTAAATGAGTTTTGTTTTGGACTTTTGTATAATATTTAGTTACTATTTATAAAACAATGGTTTTAAGCACATTTCATTTCTTATTGTTCAGTGATGCATGTTTTGCTACCAGCCGTTTGTTAAAACGATTGATAGCAAAAGAGTTAACTTTATGATAGTTTAATTAACAGCATTTATTTGCTAAACTTTTCATCGGGGTCAAATATTCTCGAAATTCTTATTTAATCATGTGAGAACATATTTAATGAAAATTATTCAGTAAAACATTTATTGCTTATTTTGTTTCATTATTAACATTGAACAATTATTGGTCAAGATTGCAAAAAAGTGTAACATTATCGAGTAAATTTTTTAATAACAATATAAAAATAAAATTTATGAAAAACCTTTTATTGTCTATTTTAATAGTTTTTTGATTTGTAATTTTAAAAGACGGGTTAATATAAAATACTTGCCAAATACGACATAAATTGGGAAGTATTAAATTTTTTTTAACGCTCGCTGCAACATATTGACAATTTTAATTGCCATCTGTCTTAATTTATTGCCATAAAACAATAATTATTGCTTTAATTTATAAAAAGCTGTCTGTAAATTTGTTAAGTGTAAAATCTATAAATATTTTCTAACTGAAAATTTAGAAATTCAGCAAATATCTCTAATAAACGGTGTCTGTAAATTTGTTAAGCGTAAAATCTATAGATGTTTTCTAACTAAAAACTTAAGAATTCAGCCAATATTTCTAATAAATGATGTTGTTTACCAAAAAAATTTATTAATTAAAAATTAAAGAATTTGTAAAATGTCATTTCAATAGGAAAACAAAGTTGTCAGAGTGATAAATGACCTAGAAAAAAGTTCACATTGTTTACATAAAAAGATTCAGAATATATAACAAGGTGATCAACGACTTTTTTGAATATTTATTATATTTATTATTTTTTAACATAAAAACCTTAAATTTATTTGGTTCTCACGCACTTTATAAAAAAACATTCTTTTGTTTAGCTTCTTATAAAATTTATAGAAAAGTCATAAGATTGATAATACACACTTACTTTAAAAAACTAATAAAACAATAACAAATAATAATGATTAAAAAAAAAATTCCGCAATGACGTTGTTTACTAAAACTCTGGTATTAAATGCGCTTGAATAAATTATAAAGTCTCTAGATTGCGTTGTATATTTTAAAGACTTTGAGAGAATTTCTTTTGTGGAGACGACAAGCTTCAAGTAAAACAATAAAGGTTGTTTTTGTTGGTATACATTTATTATTTTGTTTTATTTAAAAAAATTCAGCCCAAACATTTGTTTTTATCATTCTCTTTAAAATAAACACAACTTGTCTCGGCACTTTGGGATCCCTTTAAGATTGAGATTATAGTGCTTTTATAATGATTAAAAAAGCTAAACCAAAAAAAATAATTTATTTGGATGCTGTTCAATAGAAATAACTAAGTAAATTAAAAAAATAATAATAATAAAATAAAATTAAAAATCATTTCTTTTATCTTATTCTTATTTTACAATCTATGAGATCAAAATCAAAGAATGAATCACAGATTCTTTGTTGAATTTTTATATATTGTTGTAATTACTATTTTATTTTGTTGTTTTTTCAAATTTAATTTTTTGAACTTTTAGATAATACTTTCTTAAAATTAATAATAGTATTTAAAAAAGTAACCAAATTGTAAAAAGTTTTTCTTTAAACTTTTACATATTATTAATATTGATATATAATTTTTTTGTTTTCAATTATAGTTTTTTAAAAAAGATTGTTTAAATTTGAAAGAGACAGAAAATGTGAAAAGAGTTATTTGCAGAATTTTGTTTGCGCTAAAGACATTGTTTTTTGTTGTTTTTTGCATTGTTTTGTAAATAAGATAAGGATTGTTAATGGGTTTGTATTCTGTAAAATATTGTATTTTGTTATACTTTAAAAAATTGTATGACTTCTGATTGTTCCATTCAATGCTACGCCACACTTTTATAATTATTTTTATGAATGGATTTTTAATTTCAGTGTTTGTTTATTGAATATTTATTTTGTTATTAAGTTTTTAACTTTATCAGAAACATTTCTTTTAACAACATTTTGTGAAAAAATTGGAATGTTGCTTCATAAAATATGATATTTGATGATATAAATATTTTTTATTAATTTTCAGAAGCATTTTGAGTATGCCATTTTTTTAAAAATTTGTTTTATAGTTTTTTGGTCACAGTGGAGTGAGTGGTCACAATGCAATTCTTCTTTTATTATGACTAAAACCCGATATTGCAGCAGTAATCAATGGTTGAATTGCGTAGGAAATAATAGTAAGGTTAAATCATGCAGTAACCAAGGTACTTCAATTTTTTTAATATATTTTTTTCTTATACATATCTGATAACATTGTTAGTAAAAAGCACGCTTGTAATTAAATACTTATAAATTTCAAATATTTATCAAGACTATCACACAAATTTTAATTAAAACAAAATAATAAAAGTATACCAAGAAAACAAACTTTGTTGTTTTACTCAAAGTTTGCCGTCTCCACAGTAGCCATTCTCTTAAAGTCTTTAAAATATATGCTGCAATCTACAGACTTTATAATTTATTTAAGTGCGTTTAATTCCTAAGAGGAAATGACGTCAATTTTGATAAGAAATCTAAAAATTCTTTTTTTTTTTATCAAATTATAGTTTTTTTACTTTTATTATAGATTACTAAAGAATTTGTTTAGTTACTTATTATATAAGTTCTTTTTTCATGATAAATTACTGCAGAATTTTTTCTTCCGAAGTTATTTTATTTTCTTAATTTCGCAAAGTTTGTATTAAATATATGAATAAAATATTTCAGATTTTTTTAGTTTGTCTGTTGCTATAAAATATTTTTTGGTATATTTTTTGTTATTAAATGATTATTATCTTTATTAAGATTCTGTTATAAAAATTATTTTGTATTTAATGAGTATGCTTCACAATTTATCTTTTTTTGTACATAAATTTTTACTCTAGACACATAATTGTTTGTTCTTAAAGTTTATTTAATTCTCTACATAATCAGGAACAAATAAGAGCCATATTGTGTTATTATAAAAATTTATCATCTGACGTTAAAAAATCTTGAGTAATCCTTGATAAAAAAAAAACTTAAATTTTAGTTCTAAAATAAAGCAGCGTTAACAATGTAAAATTTAACTTGTAAAAGTGTAAGTTTAAATTTAACTTTTATAAATATTTAGCTAAGTAATTACAGATGTCTTTTGAAGAAAAACATTCTTTTTATGCATTAAATGAGTTATGTTTTGGACTAAATTTTTTAGTTACTATTTATAAAAACAATGTAAGTTGTTACTTTAAATAAAAAATGTTGCTTAATTTTATAAAAATATTATAAAAGAGCCACGTTTCAAAAATATTTGCTTTATTCTTAAATTTTGCTTTAGTTTTATTTATAATTTATTTTGCTAAGTTTATAAGTTTTTTCGCTTTAAAAGCTATTTTTCTTTTTTTAACTGTCTCGCATCGGTCCAGTTAATTTTATTGCACTTTTTTGTTTGTTTTTAAAATATTATGAAAACGGCTAAAAAATCTGGCTGGTTTTTCGCAACTTAATATTATTTCCGTGGTCAATTATTGAGTGCCATTGCACCCGCTTCCCGACCAAGCCTAATATATATATATATATATATATATATATATATATATATATATATATATATATATATATATATGTATATATATACATATATATATATATATATATATATATATATATATATATATGTATATATATACATATATATATATATATATATATATATATATATATATATATATATATATATATATATATATATATATATATATATATATATATATATATATATATATATATACACATATATTATTGATAGAGCTCCACCATTTTATAATAAAGCTCTCAATTCTTGTGGATTTAAAGATAGGATGGATTTCATTTTAAATATATCCAAAAATATAATACAAAATCTTGAATGAGAAACATGATTAATTTAACCCACTTTATTCACTCAACGTCAGAACAAACTAAGCAAAAACATTTTTGAGTACAGTTGATAAATGTTTCTCTAAAGGCCACAAATTTCACAAACTTTTTAACCAGAACCACTTAAAGATTACTTGCCTTTCAAACATAAGGAGTAGTCTTACTTCTCATAATAAAAATATAAAATTTAATTCTCATGAAAATGCCAATCAACTATTCAATTGCCGACAAACCAACTTATGCCTACTCAATGGAAAATGCTAATCCTTAAAAAAAATATATACAAAAAACCTTATTTATAATTGCAATGTAAAAACTTACCAACAAGAAGAAGGGTATTATTACATTGGGCTTACTGATAAAATTTTCAAAGATAGGTGGTATAAGCATAAAAATTCTTTTGTTTGTAAAAGTAAGGCCAACTCCATTAAACTTTAAAAATTTATATATAATTTTTGTCTTTATGTTTTTTTTGTATATAATTTTTGTCATTACTTTTTTGTTATGGTTATATCTGATGACGGTATGGAAATATATCTTGATAAATATTTAGTTTTCACTCTATATATACAAGACTCAAAATAGCTGGCAGACAAATAATGTCCAGCACATGTCCGGTAAAAAATGGCGTCTATCAGTCATTTTGTCTGACCCATATTTTGTGTGCATTTATTTTATAATTATATTTTAGTTAATCCAAAATTATCAATAAATTCAGTATTGTATATAAACTTTATTTTTTTGAACTTTTTATTTTTTATAAACAATAGAAATTGAAGTTGAACACTAAGCTACTTTAATAAAATAGGTCATTTTTAGCTAATTCATTTTTTAAAAGATGCCAAAGCATTAATTTTTTTTTTTTATTAAGCAGCTCAGTTTTTATAATTTATAATAAAAGATTGCAATTAATTATTAGTTCAAACTTATATTTCAGTATAATTTTCAATATAAATTTAAAATAATATAAATTTCAATGAATCCTGCAGCGATGAAAAGTATACACATTTGATAAAAGTTAGATGTAAAGGTCTTCATTGGCTTTAAGATATGTAGGAAGTAGAAGATACAAATCAAATCAAAAAATTTATGAAATAGAGTTGTAAGATTTCAAGGACTTTTATGTATAGTACAAGTATGTTGTATGTTGATTTTGTACCACAAAAGAAAAAAGGCTATTCATTATTGAATAGAGTTGTAAAACCTCATAACAATAATAAAATTGTATTTATGTATTGTCAGAGCGCACAGTGGGTCAGATCTCAGAAAAGCTGGTCAAAAAGGAAATATTTTCGATACGGTACTTTTGGACTATCAGGTTGGCTTCAGTGATGTTGGGACTTAATGCTTAATGCCAGGTATCCAGAAGATCAGCTGCTCATTTCGTGCGCTATATTGCAGATCGAACGCGGCAGTCCTTTGTATGTCGTACTTGCGTACGTTAAAGCTAAAAAAATCGTCTTTTTTTCAAAAAAAAATATTTTTGTTGTGTGCACGTGAAACAAATATTTTCAATATGGAATTCGTTTCACAAGGTATGTACTAATTAAAAAACAAAAATATTATTATTAAGTCATTAATTATCAAGGTTTTTTTTTAAATTAACTTAATACAGAAAACTATTTTATAAAATTGTAAAATTTGCTTTAAAAATAGAGATAAATTACGAATTCCACGATATTCCACTTTCATTTGCATTGTGTTTGTACGTATGCAGTATTTTTTTTGTAATTTAACATTCAAACTCACCTACTAGTACCAACTCCACTTTTAAGCAATGTTTTATATGACAGTTGCAAAATGCCGTTATTAAGACATCTTGAAAAATGAAAGTAAAATTATTTAACTATGAGCTACATTTGTATAATTTTAATTATAATCGATGTCTAGAAGCATTATAAAGAAGATTAAAAGTAGAAAAGGACGGGAACAATGCTTTCTCCTACACAGTGAGATGAATAACTTAGAAAAGTACAGTGATCGCTACACACACCGCCACACAGTAGTTACCATTTTCCAATCTTCAAGATATGATTCCATTCCCTTTTTTTTTTCTTGTTTCACATTTTAAACTGAATAATTGGTTATTTTTTTAATGACATTAATATTAAAAAATATTTTTTATTAAAAAAGTTATTAACTTCATAACTAAATTAAGAAAAAATTAAATATGAATACAAACATTGTATATATGTTTTTGTAGCGCATTTAAGTATTTAATAAATAAGTTAATAAATAAATACATAAATAATGCATAAATTGATAACTAAAATAAAAGTTGTATCTGTATTGTGTTGAAAGTATTTATATAGTAATTTATATTTATCTATACAGTAGTTATAAATGTATCAATACAGTAATTTGTATGTAATTTAAATCTTTAAGTCATTATCTTTTTACAATATGGATAGAATTCATTTATATTACTGGATAATACATTATACATTTTTATTAAAATTAGAATATCAAAATAAATAATTTAGTTAAAAGTTTGGTTGACGTTTATGGACTTTCGAGTTTACGGACTTATTACAAAGCAAACGATTTGGAAATGGATGGAATTCATTTAAATGATGGTATAAATACAATTATATATTTTATTAAAATAAAAAGTTAAAAACTTAACTAAATATTGAGTAAATACATTTTAAATAAGTATACATAGATTTTTTAAATTTAGGTTTATCAGATCCACCGGTTGCCGTATATGGACTTTTGAGGAAAGAGGTCTTTATTATAACAAAAGAATATTTTTCAAACGATTTGCAAGTGATCATAGAACAATTGGAAACGTCATTGACTGAAAAGATTGGATATTTAATTTCAATTCGCGACAACATGAGACCTACTATTTCTGTTTTAATGACAAAATTTAGAAAGAAATATAAGGAAGCAGCTCAACGACAAGATTACTTTTTCAAAAAGAACGAAAACTGGTTAAAAACTTCAGTATATTTTCAGATTGATGCAAAACGTGCAATTGTGAATAAATCAACGGGTCGACCCACCAGAAGTTTCGAAACTTTATCTGATAGGTCCAAAAGAAGGAGGACTAAAGAGATGCGTACGAAGTTCAGCCCTGCCGAACTATCATTTGCTACGCAAATGAGTCTTCGATCTTCAGGGCATTCAGATGCTGCTAAGATTGTGAATGACGTTACACTATCAAGTCCATTCAAGGCAACAAAATACAAGGAAAGTTTACAACTATCATTATCATTGCCAGCCTTTTATGATGCAAATGAAGCTCTAGCACTTTTATTAGACCTAAGTTTGACGAAAGATTTGTACTAGCATTTGAGAAATCAGGCAAAAAAAAAAAGGCTTAAATACATTTTATCCACCATACTCAGCTGTATTGGCAGCAAAAAAATGTTGCTACCCTCCAGACGACACCTTAAATTTTACTGAATCAAAAGCTGAGGTACAGTTGCAAGCTTTATTAGACCACACCGTTCAACGTATTTTACTGCTGAACCAAGACAATATTACATATAAGAGTGATTCAGAAATATTGAATATGACTTTGATTTGTAAGTGGGGCTTTGATGGAACATCCGGACAAAGCATTTATAAAATGACTTTTGAAGATCCGAATATATCAGATGCAAGTTTACTTTTTACTTCGCTTGTTCCATCGCAACTTGTAGGTGTAAATCAAGAAACAAAAAAAGAAAATCTCTTATGGAGTAATCCGAAGCCATCTTCAACCCTCTTTTGCAGACCTCTAAAATTGCAATTTACAAAGGAAACTGAGGAAACTTTTATAAATGAGAAAACGCATTTTGACAAACAGATTGAACAACTCCAACCATTAAAAACAACCATTCATATGAAAAATGTTTTTATTCAATACAGTTTAAGTATGACCATGTTAGATAGTAAAGTATGCAATGCTATCAACAACACAAAATCTGTGCAACAGTGTTATCTCTGCCAGGCAACTTTCAAGCAATTTAATAACATTGATGAAGTTTTGCAAAGACCGGTAACCACTGATTATCTACAGTACGGACTGTCAACTCTACACACCTGGATTCGATGTTTTGAATGCTGTATTCATTTGGGATACAAAAAAAAAAGGAAAAAATGGCAAGCGCGTAAAGAAGAAGATAAGCAGGAAAAAGCAACAATGAAAGCTAGCATCCAAAAAACTTTCAAACAGCAGCCCTAACCCTAACCCTAACCCTGACCCTAATCCTAATTTTAATCAATATGCCAAAGCAAGGGTTGGGCAACATGAACGAGGGAAACACCGCTCAACATTTCTTTGAAAACACTCAAACATCATCCTTGATAACTAGTGTTTCCAAAGAATTAATCCACTGTTTTCATATAATTTTGCAAACAATTTCGAGTGGACATGAAATTGACGTTGAAAAGTTTCGAGGTTACATCTTAGCAACTGCAAGACACTAAATCAAAGAATATCCCTGGTACAACATGCCAACATAAGTACATAGATTGCTGATCCACGGACCAGATATTATTTCTTCGGCCATTTTACCCATTGGTCAACTGTCCGAGAATGCTCAAGAATCAACCAATAAGTTAATAAAGCAATATCGTTTGGGTTTTTCTCGAAAGTTTTCAAGAGTTAAGACTATGGAAGACGTGTTGAGGAGATTGTTGGCAACCACAGACCCCTACATTTTATCTCTGCTAAATCAACACCAAAAAAATTGAAGACTTTGTTGCCAGAGGCTGTTGCCTTCTTGGTTCCTGTAACAGAAGATTATGAAGACTCTGACGCAGATTCCGATGAAACAAACTTTGAATATAATAAAGATTTCAACAAAGAGACAGATCAAGATGAAAAAGAACCAAAATGATTATAACTGAAACAAAATGTTTTTTCTATATTTAACACTATCTTCCATCATTTGACCCATTTTTTAGCACTTACGGGCACATTAGATCCACCATTTTGTTTTTTAATTTTTTTAAACTTTTTTTTGTCAAATTTTTAATTTGTGGCCTAAAAGAACTTTTTAAACCCATTTATGAGCAACTTAAACAATTTTTTAACATATATATCCCCCATATTGGATCCGCAATTTTGTTTTTCTTTTTTTTTTTAGCAAAATTTTAATCAGTAACTTCAAAAAATATTTGCCATGAAATTTCAGGCAAATCATTTAACGTTTTCTTATTTTGACCAGCTTTTTCGATGTCTGACCCACTGTGAAGCGCCATTAATTATGTAAAATTGTGGAATGCAGATTAAAGTTCTTATAGTCGCTAAATTACTGGTTTTTCTTCACGGATTATTTAGCAAAGTTTACATTGTTTACCCAGGATTTTACTTTTGCAATATGGATTTACAACATTGAAGTTGTAAATCCATATTGTAAATCCACTGAAGCTAAATTTCTTTTGAATAAATAATAAATGTATATCAATAAAACTAAACTTTTAGTTTTAGTCCCAGCCTATTTTCCCCATTTTACTGTAACTTGGAGTCTTGATAATATATGCCCTAATCTACATACTAATTATTTTTCATGCACATTTAAATTGTAAAAGTTTCAGTTTGTCATGTTGACTTTTGACAGGAAATCTAAAAATTCCTATATTTTAAAATAAGTTTTTTATTTTTAATAAATTTTTTTTGGGAGATTTAGTAAAAAATTATACAAATAAATATGATTTGCTAATTGTGCTAATAAATAATACTTAACTCTAAATTTTCTTTCAACATTTTTAAATACAACATGTATTGGCAGTTGGTCCCTTTAAATTGAAATTGATAACCCCTTTAAATTTGTTTTATAGTCCCTTTAAATTGAAATTCTTAATTTATACTTAAAATAGAACCTTGTTAATCACAAATTTTTTTAATTGCATTTACATTCTATGTATGATCTATGTTTAATGTATTAGGTTAAAAATCTGAATGTGGATCTCTAACATTTTTTGATTTTTTAAATTGATGTAGCCTTATCTTTCTAGTTGTCCTAGCTTTAAAAGTTTGATAGAATAAATTGTCAATGATATCAAGTCTTTGATTAAACTTCAGATTGATATGAGGAAGTCAATAAAAACATTGGTTTAAAAAGCTGTCAAAAAATTTAGCTGCAGGCAAGCAAACAATATCAAATATAATAGAAAGAATTTAAAAAATAATGTGGTTGGGTATTAATTTTTTAATTTTTTTCTTCACAAATTGTTTTATAAAAAAATGTATAATTAGAAATAAAGACACAATTGTTGTTTAATGAAATTGTTGTTTTTGGTTAAAAAATTAAAAAAAAATAATTTTTAATCCCTGCCTAATATAGATACATACACATACACTCACACATGTATAGACTTGAGCTTCTATAGTAATTATATTCTATAAGTAATTAAAAAGCAGAACTATTACAGAGACTTCCGACCTTGCAAACAATTTCAGACTTTTTTTACTTTTTATATTTTGCTGTTTCTTTAAAAATTTTTTTACAAAAGATCCCAATGGCAAAGAAGGACAAAGTTAGTTTTAACATCATGAGACATAATATTGAAGTTTTTTTTTAACATTCTTTATTGTTTTTTGTCATTAAAAAAAAAAGCAAAAAATGTCTGAAATTAGAGATTTTAATATATCTTAATATTTTTAGTTTTGCTTTTTACTTAGTTATCTTTATTTTAAATATTTTTTTTTATCAGTAGATTTTTTATTAGTAGTAATTTTGTTTCAAAAGAATAAGTTAACAATGAAGGCAAATTTTAAAACTTAAAAAAATTTAATAAATAAAAACCTTAAAGTCTTTTATTCAAATTAATAGTCTACCTGCTTTAATACTGAAATTTTTTACATCAACTGACGATTTTTTTTTTGCAATGCAAATATTTGTTGGAAAAGAAAATATGACTGAGATTTTATTTTATTCAAACTTGTTGTTCTGTCCAAGTGAGTGGTGGCATCATAAAGATCTAACCCAAATATAATAAATGTATTCCATTCAAGGGTAGATAAATGATTTATCAAATAAGAGAATGAAATAACCAGAGTTGTTAACAAGGCCAAAAATAGCAAGACCAAGGCTGAGACCAATTGTTCCAAGGCCAAGGCCAAGACCAAAGCCAAAAGTTCCAAGGTAAAGGCCAAGGCCATGAGTTTCAAGTCCAAGGCCAAAAACAAAGTTTTCAAGGCCAAGGCCAAGGGTTTCATAGACAAGGCCAACGCAAACATTTTCAAGACCAAAGACCTAGATTTTCCACCTTAAGTCAAGGCCAATTATTAATAAAACTACAGGTACCAAGTGCAGTAACAAAAAAACTACATGTTGTGAAAGACCAAGGCTATGCGCAAAAATTGACAAAATCAATAAAAAGATGTATATGATATGGAAGTGTATATGAAAGACAAAAACAAAAAAATAGTAAAAATAGTAAGAGTACTAAAAAATGGTAAGAGTACTAAAACTTTTAACGCTTTAATTTTATGTACCTTTGTATTTTTTTATTTAAAATATGTTTATACTAGTTTCTAGCTATAAGTCATAAGCATTAACTACCACTGTTTAAGTTATAAGTCTTTATTACATTTAGGAAAAATTAATGTTTCAAGCAAGGAATCAGTCATGTGAGCTCTATGAGGGCACATTATTAATCCACTCTGAGAGAAGATATGCCCTTTATATAAGATATATGCCCTTTTCCCATTGCAAACTCATAGGCACTACAAAATAGAGAACTTTGATGTAATAAATTTTGAAGTTTAGAACATTTTGAAAGAGTAAACTTAAAATTTGTTAGCGACTTTAATCCATCACAAACTACTAATTGCAGAGAATGAGCAAAGCAAGGTATTCGTTTTGCAGGTATATTTAGAGACTCATTTAGATCTATATCATCTTCAACTTGGTCTTCCCACAATGATGGATCAGCCTCATTATCCAAATGATCTTCCCCATCATCAAACAAAACATTCATATCTTTCACGCATTGTCTATTACAATGTAATGCACTTTATTGGCTATGTTTTTTTCTGAAATTAATGTCTCCAACTCATCTGCTATTTTTCTTCCATTATGTGATCCTTGGAAGGAACGAAATGCAATGATGAGACAGTGGTTTACTACTTATAAAAACATGGAAAGTGACTGCAAGAAATGCATGTGCTCTTCTATCGGTCCATATATCTGTTTTTAGTGAAAGATAAGGCGATTTCACTAAAAACTGATGCAATTTTGTGAGTTTAACTTGTTGCATTTTTGGTAAAATTCCATATGCAATTGTTTGCCTGCATGGTGATATAATCTTCGGATCAATCTCTTTCAAAAACTTTCGGAAATCCGTGTTTTCAGTTAATGAAATTGGCAAACTACAATTTACAATGATGTTGGTTACAAATGATTAAGTAACTTTTGGCAAGGGTGTTGTGAACTGTAAGAAATATTTTGGTCTTCTTTTTTTTTGTTTAGTTAAAAAAGTTGTCATTAAAGGTTGATTTTTGTTGATCTGAGTCTTCTTGTACTGTTCATATAATAACTCATGTTTGCAAAATAAATGTCCAAAATATAAACAAATGTGTAATATAAATATATCATCTTTTGATGTATATACAAAAAATTGACCCTAAGTCAAATAAATGTCCAAAATATAAACAAATGTGTAATATAAATATATCATCTTTTGATGTATATATAAAAAATTGACCTTAAGTCAAATAAATAGAACTTTATAAATAATAACTATTGTGAATGTGAATTATTCACTTACTTCGTAAATCCTGAAGTTACACAGTGTGTTTCTGTAATACTAAAGTGACATGTATTACATTTAGCTGACCATTTATCTCCGATTATAAGAAAATTTTTAAATCCAAAATTGATGACTGATGGCAAACCTTTTTCCATTATTATATCTTTATAATAGAATTATTATATATTTATTATAGAAGCATAATTAAGCTATTGCTTATTGGTTCAAAGTTGCATTTTATAAATAAAATAGTTTTAAAAAACTCTATTAAAAATACATTACTAACAACTTATATAAATAGATTTAGATAAATTGAATAAAAACAAATTAAATCAATAAAAAAACTACGATAAATTATAGTTTAATTATGATAAAAGCTTTAATTCAAAAAACCTTTTAAATTCTGTTGTTAATTTAAAGAAAAAGTGTTTAAATCTTTATTTAAATATTGAAATGTTCTAGCTAATTAAAAATGTTAAAATAAAACATGTGACTAAATATATATATATATATATATATATATATATATATATATATATATATATATATATATATATATATATATATATATATATATATATATGTAAACTTCTGTTTAACCAATCATGTCATTCAATCAAAAAGTTTTGATTGAATTGAATAAAAACTGAATTCAATAAGAAAGTTTGATGGCTAGAGCCATAATGTTCAAGGTCAAGGTCAGGACCAAAATGTTCAAGGCCTAGATCAAGGCCAACAGTTTCAAGACCTAGACCAAGGCCTTAATTTTTGGCCTTAAGGCAAGGCTAAGGCCAACGCCAAGGACTAACAACTCTGCAATTAACATAACATTAAAATAAAACAGCCATATAAAATGAATTTCTTAAACCAATAATTCAGCCTATTTTTATAATTTAGCCTATTTTTTGCTTATTTATATCAAATCAAAGTTGCTTTTAATACGCTTTTCTTTCATTGCTATTTTTATTCTAAGAGTTTGAATTTTAAGCTATTTTATACTCATTACAATATATTTGTATTTTATTTATATATCTTGCATACTTGATATATCTTGTGCATAAACATCAATATTAGCATTAAAACTTTTAAATCTTTAAAGTTTTATATGATAAAGATAAGCAATAACCAAAAATTTAAGAAAGTAGAAATCAGTGTTTTTTTTTTAAATGCAGATTTGCTCAAAACATTTTGAGCAATTCTGCCTTCTTAAGATACACAGAATCATATTTTATTGATTAGCTACTCTGTAAATCAAATGTATAACTTGGGTGTAAAAAGTTATAAAAAATAAAAGTTCACCACATGATAAATCATTGTCTTTGTCTAAAGCAGTGTCACATAGCTGTGTCGCACAGATTAGAGTTCTGGCTCAGAACCCAGAGATCTGATGTTTGATGCCAGCTCAAACCTAATAGGCAACATTGGTATCATTATGAATCAATATTATTTAGTAGCTTTTTATCTGTTTGAAAATAAGTTATAAGGTTACTATTTAAAGAAATTTAAAAACAAGCTATAAGCTTATACATATATTCAGCTATATATTCACTACCATCAATATCTCATTCCACTACTCGACTACTCTCATTCCACTACTGAATATGTTCAAATAATCTTTTAGTGCAAGGTAAATTTCTGCATTAAAATTTTTGTCAATATCACTGACATTGACACATTGATTGTTTAAATCTCAAGTTGTAGATAACCATAGCAATTAAAATCAGTAGAAACCATGTAACTTCAAGAACTACAGTGGTTAGTTATTTTAAACATGGTATCAGTTTTATATTTTTTTCTTCAACCCCATTTGTTCATAAAACAAAGTCCAAATACAAAATATTTAGTAAAGTCAAAAGAACTGATGCAGTTTTTTAATTTAGCAACAAACTAGTATCACTAATTTAAACTTTAGCATTTAGCAAGAAGCATTATATTTTTTCAACATGCATCCATTTTGTTGGAAAGCGGTTAACTATGTAAAAGGGTTTGAGATTTAAACAATTTTACTTGTAAACTTGATATAAAATTTTGATTTAAATATCTTAGTGTTTAGGCATATGTTTAAATATATAAATATTTTTTTACATCAGGAAAAGTGAAGTTTGTTTATTTTTATTTTTTGGTTTTAAAAAAATGAATGCAAAAATAATAATAAAAAATAGCAACAACATTTTGAATATTATTATTAATATTTAAACTGTTTAATATTAATATTATCAATAGTTGTTAACGCTAAAAATTTATTTCAAATAAGTTTCTTTTTATATAAGCAATTTATTTTTAGTTTATTGTTTATTTTTATTTATTACATATTTATAAAAGTTTTATAAAATCTTTTACTTTTTCTTTTACTTTTAACCCTACTTTAGTTTTTTGGGCACAATGGAGCGATTGGTCTAATTGCAGTAATTCTTATGGATTTATGAACAGAACAAGAGAGTGTATTGATTTAAGTATTGTAGAATGGAGTTATTCTAACCAATCAGAATTATTGGAATATTCAGGTAAAAAGATTCTTTAAATCTTAGCTTAACTTCATAACTTTCCTTATTGCCCACTTCAGGCAAAATGAATTTAAACCTTTTTAGAAAAATGTTTTTTTGAATTCTTGAATATCTGAATTCCTTGTTCCAGCAGACAACGCACATCTAATAGACTATAAGGGTTAAGGGTTAGTGTTACAGTCATCGAGCACAACTATTTTCCAAATCACAATTACTGTCACCGTGAAAGAAGATGTTTGATTGTTTTTGACTTATTTATGCTGGAGGTACCTATTTGGTTTACATGGTTTTAGGGGAAAATTATTTGTAATAAGTTCTGTTAAATTGTATAATATTTATTGTAATAATAATAACTTCAAATGTTAAATGAGAGGTGGATGCTTTTTAGTTTTTTGGTATCACTCTCCCCCTTCATTAATTTTATTTTAAGAAAGAAATTTTCAATTTTACAAAAGCATCAATTGCACAAACTAAATTAATTTTACATAAAATGTCTCTCCATCATAAATGACATAAATGTTTAAAAAAAGTTTTTCACAAATATCAAATTTAAAAAAATAAAATTACAACACTTCTGTTTGATATTATGTTAACATTTATTACATAAATATCAACATAATATTAAATAACTAATTGTTAACATGAAACAAATAATATTGTTTCATGTTGGCTTTCAAGAAACGAATAATGTGGAAGACATCACAATGATTTTAAAATGTTGTTAAAAAAAAACACCATATTATAAATGTTTCAAAGGCCAAAAACATAAATAGCACTAATATAAAAAAGCAAATTGAGATAAAAATAAATTGTATTTATGTTTTAATTTTAGTGAATAATTAGAAGTAGTGAGCTTCATGAATGAAACTACTATCTTTTTTAATGATAGTTACCAGCGGGAAGGTAGGCCAAGCTGTCTATCAACACAAAGCACATAATATTTTTGTAAAGAAACATTAAATATTTGTAAATAGGGGAGAGTGTGCACTAGCACAATGCTATTATAACTTTTTTTTAAAATACTATGTGAAACCTTTTTAAAACATGAATAATTATGTCCAAAACGCAATTTAATAAAAAATAGTTAGATTTTTAAAAATTTTATTAGGTCCAAAAAAAAATTACTTTAGAGAAATAAAACAAAAAATACAATTTTAACTTTTTTTTTATTTTTTTGTTTTTGTTACAAACTATAAATATAATAAAACAAAGTTTAAAAAGATTATTATTGATTACACATTTTAATAAACATTTCAGTTAAGAAAAGTTTCTCAAGAGCATCATCTGACTTATCCTATGCTCGGATGTCCATAGCTCCAAGTCCTCTCTCAGCAACCTCATTCATTCTATGCATATTTTTTAATGTGACTTCAACACCAAGAATATGTCTGGTCAGAGCTTCTTGGGCTGTAATGCAGGCTGATGTGGCCTCTTTGAGGTTCACCCAATTGAGTTCTTCCCTCATTTTAAACCATGCATGTGACCAAAGATCTAAATTACTTTGCTGTTCCATCTTGCTGAGTGAGAACATGGCAATTTAGTTGGTAGTCCAGTATGGGTAAAACATTCTTATCCAAGTAATGCCTGAAAGCAATGCATAACCTGAAGAAAAAAATACATACGCAATATGGATATGTAATGCATACATATCATTGATGTTGAAAAAGAAAAAGTTTAATGAAACAAACCTAGCCAATGGTCTATAGTCATCTCTCCAAGTTTTAACATCAGGAGGAAGATGAGGCGTTTTATACAGGTCATTATACAATTCTTTTAATTGTGTGTACTTATCTTTTAGTTTTTTTATAAACTTAAAATCAGTTAGAGCAGGTGATTTTGATGCTGTTGGTAAATAGAAAATTAGCATTTTTTTTTAAACAAGGTCCAAAATGTGAGCATTACATCCATAATACGGATTAAATGCTTATTCTTCCACCAGAACCATCATAAGCTCCACCTAAAAAAATGTAGTTATTTATTTCATCATATATATTCATAAATAATAATATTAATTTTATGAACCATATATTACAAAGCAGGTGTCGCATATGGTAAGGGATATTTTACGAACAACATTATACTCTAGCAACATTTCATTTATCATAGCTGCTTTTTAGAAGTTCCACTAGTATGTAGTGTTTTAAGGCCAATGTACCAAAAAATTGGTCCCTCTGACTAAAAGGCAATGACCATATGTTCCACTTTTTTAATGTCATAATCATATGATGCCACAGCTTTCCCATCAAAATGTAAAATAAAGGATGTCTCAATTGACAAAGCTCCCTTAAGTTTAAAATGAGTTTTGACTTGCAATCTTTTACCAGCTCTAAAAATAGAAGATTGATGTGGAGTGGAAATATCATCATGGAAATAACTTAATGAGCAAGTTACTCTAGCTCCTTTGTGGGTAGAGATTCCAGCTTCTGTACACATCACAGCAACTGTGATGTGCACAGTTAACTGTGTTTTTAATTAAAGTTACCTTTAATTAAAAACAAAGTAAATATATTTACCAAAAAAAAAAAATTTTTATTTTGAAAAGTATTATTAATTTTTTTTGATATAAGTTTCTTTTTAGGTGGTTTGAACGAAATCTCAAAACCATCAGAGTCATCATCATTTTGAGAGCTTGATTCTGTATATAATTGCTCTAGATAATCAAGATCCAGGTTTTTTAGTATCAACTGCCAATTAGCAGGATGCTCAACACTTTTTTTACTGGTGGATATGCAGCTCTTTTTATCAGCCATTTGATAATTTTAAAATATTTGTTCTTTGGTCTTCATTTTTCTTTTTTTGTCAAGAGTATTAAATGGCATAAGAAAATCCATAGTTGATTTTCTCCTTAAACATTTTTAATATTCAACCACAAATTTATTCGGTTTTTTGTGATGCTAGCTCTGGTTATTGACGGTAAGCTAAATTTCATATTTCAGAGCTGCTCCAATTATTGTACTATTATTTGTATAACAACCTTTGATGGTGGTGAAGGTTGTGTTTCAACTAAATGGTGATAATAGCAAAGAATTTGCCAATTGTCTGGAATAGTCTTGAAATTAGCCAAGCTTTTTGTTTGTAATCTATATGGAACAGCTGATACCACAAGCTCCCTCAATTCTTTTGAACATGGTGGTCTAAAGTTGTCTGCCTTTTTCTTTGAGGCTCCATTAGCTCTTATGCAGTAATAATATATTATTGGAAATATATTTATAATTAAATTTGAAAATTAGATAAAAGTACTTTGTTTCTACTCCAGTAATAATGAATTTATAATATAATAATTATTAACTTCATCTAATTTAAAAACGATATAATCTCTAATAAAGGATAATTATACTTAAATAATCCAGTATTTTTTTCTTATTTCTATAAAGTAACTTTTGTTTTTGACCTCATAAAATTTTTAAATATTCAATTATTTTTTATTAAACTGTTCTTAGAATACATTTATTCATGTTATGGAAAGGGTTTCATGAGAAAATAAAAAATAGCATCACCCTAGTATGTACATTTTATCCTAAAATCCAGGAAGAAAAAACAAAACACCAAAAAAAAAATTCAAAAAAATATGAAAGGCAAAATTATTAAAACAATTCAGAGTTACCTATATTTGCACTATATTTTATTTGTATATTTGTTGCTCAATATTTTTTCTTTGATTATTATTTTGAAAAAATATTATTAACTTTAAGGATATTAGAATCCAGGGTGTATTCTCTCCCCAACACATTATGCTAAATACTAACAGACATTACTATGTTTCTAAAATAATTAAAAAAGGCTAGCCAACACAACTTAGCTTCAAAACAGTAACACTGCTTGGCACAAAATGCTGCCTTCTTACTCCTCTGCTATTGGTACATCAATTAACTGGGAAGATCTTGCTCATTGCCAGATTACACCACTTTGAAAACAACTAAATGTATAATTTTAATAGTAGAGGCAATAATGTCTAAAGTTAGAAAAAAAAATTTTTCAAAACATTTTAAAGTTGATTTTGTTTAAAATGGAGAAAAGGTATTTAAGGATGTACTTTTTTGGACGCTTTTAAAATGCATATAAGGCTTATGTTAAAACTCATACAAGGCTCCTTTCATGGATGCACTGTTAAACAATAAAATGTTTACCATATTTTTGGGGTTTTAAAAGTTAATATATTTAGTTTTCCATTGTATATATATCTAGAGTAGGAATGTACTTGTCTACTTTCTGTAAACAATAAAAGATAAAAGTTTATTTAAAGGGATCCCCAACTGCCGAGACAAGTTGTGTTCATATTAAAGAAATTGTTTAAAAAAAACATTTGGGCTAAATTTTTTTGATTGAAACTAAATAACGAATGCATACCAACAAAATTAAAATTAGTATTTTAGTTGAAGCTCGCCTTCTCCATTTTTTTTTGGTTCTTGGGGTCTGTATAATGTTAGCCGGAATCTGCAGACTTGATAATTTATTTAATGTGCGTTAATTCATAATAGTTTCGGTATATGACATCATTGCAATATCTTTTTAAAATAGTGTTTTTTTGTTGTTGTTTTTTAAAGATATAAGTATTTTTTCTACTACAATCAGAAAATCAAATATTTGTATAATTTTTTACTAAATCGCAAAAAATATTTGTGATTTAGTAAAAAATTATACATATATATATATATATATATATATATATATATATATATATATATATATATATATATATATATATATATATATATATATATATATATATATATATATATTTATAATTTTTTTTTACTTGTTTTATTATTGTTTTATGGTTATTATTTATTTATTTTGTAGAAGCCAGCTAAAATCATGACACAATTATACATATTTTGTGATTATTAGAGTTTGCAGGCAGAGAATAAATAATGGCAGTATGATGCGGTTTTTTTTTTTTATATTTAGTTTATATGGTTTAATAGAGTTGTTTGTTTTATGTTTAGTTTACATTTAGTTATGGTTTAACTCTTTCACTACCACAAGCCACTGGTAGTGGCTTTCAAGTATACTTTACAATTTATCTTGTTTAGTACATAAATTTCCATTCTAGACACATAGAATTTGTTTGTTCTGAAGGTTTAATTAATTCTCTACATAATCAAGAAAAAATAAGAGCTATAATTGTGTAATTATAAAAAAAGTTATCACAGAGTTAAAAAATTTTGAATAATCCTTCATAAAAAAAACTTTAAATTTAGCTATAAAATAAAACAGCATTAACACTGTAAAACTTAACTTGTTAAAGTGTTAAGTATTTAGTTAAGTAATTACTAAAGTATTTTGAAGAAAAAATATTAATTTTATTCATTAAACAGGGTTTGTTTTTGACTTAATGTTTTAGTTATTACTTACAAAAACGATAGTTTTAAGCACTTTGCATTTCTTATTGTTTAATAAAGCGTGTTAAAAACTTTATTATTTTTGAATTTTAATCAATTGTCAATGTTATACTATTCAAACGTTATTCAACAAAAATGTGCGCTTGCTACAAAAAGATTTTTGTTCAGCTGGTAGCAAACAATTTAATGTGATTCTTTGTTTTTATATTTATGTTATAACTATTTCTTGTATATTTTAGTGCGAAAATTTGTTTTAACTTTAATTTAGTTTGATTTGAACGGTTATTAGTAAAATAAATCGTTTAATATATTATATTAAACAATTAAATAATAATTTGAATAAATTATCAAGTCTGCAGATTGCGGCTAACATTATACAGACTCCGAGAACCAAAAAAAAAATTGAAGCGGCAAGCTTCGACTAAAACGTGAATTTCTAAATTAATGGTGTGATTTCATTATTTGGTTTTAATCAAAAAAGTTCAGCCTAAATGTTTTTTTAAACATTTTAAACATATGAATACAACTTGTCTCGGCAGTTGGGGATCTCTTTAAGGAGTAAAAATAAAATAAAAGTTTACCAATGCTGGAAATGTTGGAATGTTAAGTTTATTTACAAACTCTGATGTTTGTGGTTTAATTGGAATTTTTTAGAAAGGAAGTTTTTTTATTATATTGGATTGACACTGAGACAATAGCAACTTATTAATGCAATGGTTTCCAACATGACACCAAACTTGAAAGCACCAGCTAAGGTGAGATGACAATAATGCATAGTAAATATTCTTAAGTGTAACTTTATCGAAATAATGACAAATTATTGAAAGCATACCATTAGCTCTAGTTTCTGGCTTAGTTCATCAACGTGTAAGCTCCATGAAAGATTGCAGTCAATTAAACACCAAGATATTATTTATATTATTATAATAACTTTCTTTAATTAGCCGTGATTTTAATTTCAACAGGAAAAAATAGTTAGAGGGGGTGGGGTGGGGTTGATGCAGTGCTGTCCCCAAGCGGTAGCTGAAGCAGTGAGTGCGCCTGTGCTACGCCTGGACTGGAGGGGAGGTAATCTTCTTTTGGAAGAAAAGAAAAAATAACAATTTCAAAAAGCTTCAATAACAATTTAAAATACAAAATAAACCATGACTCTGAACATTGACTAATAAATCATTTTTAGACTTGACAACTTAAGTTCATAAAAACTCTCTAATTTTCGAAACTTAAAAAAATTTCTAATAAAAAAAGTAGCTTCATGACTCTGAATACAAACTTTGACAAAACAGTGTTGGTTAAAGAATAAATGGTTAGACCTATTTGCATACCAATTGAATATTTTACTATATTTAAATCATGAGCAACTTTTTTTTGGGATCAAGGGAAACCTGATGTAGATGGTTTCTATTACTCTTGTTTAAAAAAAACTACAATAAAAAAAATACATAGAGACCAATTTTGTCTACCCTAACCAAATCAAACGTAGACTTAAACTATTAATTGAACTTAAACAAAACTAAAAAAAAATGTTTATCAAACTATTTTAATTAAACTATTTTTTATCATTATTAATAAAAAAACAATATTAATAAAAAGTACTATAATAATTATTATATGCATTTAATTATTAATGCAAATAATTATTATACATACTTACATGCATTTTCTTAAAATATTTTAATAATGAAGTTTTATTTGTTCTTATTTATGTATGTGGTTTTATGAAGATATAATTTATTTTGCTGACATATATACCAAATGGGTATTGTGAAGGAATATTTTTATTATATCATCAGTTAATTTGATCTATTTATTTTAGAGTTTTTTATAATGGAAAAAACCACTTTGTTGTCAAAAGGAAACCTGATTGCAATTATAAAAAGACTTAATAAAGAATACTCTATGTCTTTTGAATTTAATCCAACATCAATTAAAAATGTTTATGGAAATGTTATACATTTGACTATTGAAAATGATATGTTAACGTATGGAGATCGAATTCCAGCAGTATTCTTTCTTCCTGGTATATCTGGATTAAAAATTTGTGCAGCAATTAACAATATTCTTAATAATTGTTTAAATAAAACATTTTACCTGAAATTGGGTATTTGGTCTTCATTTAAAATATCGCAAGAGTTGTTTGAAGGAAAATATATTTACTCAATTCAATTAAACAATGAAACACTTTTAAATGTCGAAAACCAAGTTGCTAGAGAGTTTTTAAATGTTAAAGTATATGTTTCTGACCCTTGGTATGATGTGCAACCTGGTTATATTAGAAATCTAAAAATAACCAATGGAAATCCAGGTAAAATAAATGATGAATTAAATTTAGTATTAAATTATCATTTCATATAAGGTTTTAACAATCTGTGCATGTAATCCAATTTTAGTTATAAACAAAATTATTAAAATTTTAAAATGTAAAAAATATTTTTAGTAAAAGATCTTTATTTGATCACCATCTTTGGTTGTAAAACATTAGACAAAAAATTTAAGATTAAATAAAACATTTCTTTAATCTTATTAATCAGTTTACAAAATAATTTATTGTATTATATCATAAAATCTTGTGAAAATGCACTTTTTCATTTTTAGTAAATATGTTTTAATTAATAAGTAAAATCTAATATAATATTTTTTGTTATAAAATAATTATTTTTTAAATTTTTATATAATTTTGCTTCATTTAAAACCCAATAAGACATATTTTTGAAAAACTTTTTATTAATATTAGAGGCCTATTAAATGTTCAAGGGTCTTAAGGCATCCCTAAAAATACTTTAGTTTAAAAAACTTTCAAATGCAGTGTTATTTTATCATAAAGAACACATTAAGATGCGAGCTGCAGATATTTTTGAAAATGTTGTTTTTTAAACCTCCCTAATGATAATATGGCTGAATGATTGTTGAATGGCATGAACCTTTAAATTTCATAATAAAGTGGTATTTTTTCCACTACAGTTCTTTTAATTTACTCAAATTTAGATTTTTATTTTACAAAAAAATTTATCTAACTTGAACCAACAGAAGCTGTATAATATATATCTATATATCTATATCTATATCTACATATCTATATATCAATATCTATATCTACATATCTATATATCTATATACCTAAATCTATACCTATTTATCTATATACCTATATATATATATATATATATATATATATATATATATATATATATATATATATATATATATATATATATATATATATATATATATATATATATATATATATATATATAGTATATATATATATATATATATATATATATATATATATATATATATATATATATATATATATATATATATATATATATATATATATATATATATATATATAGTATATATATATATATATATATATATATATATATATATATATATATATATATATATATATATATATATATATATATATATATATATATATATATATATATATATATATATATATATATATATATATATATATATATATATATCCCCTAAAATGGTTAACAGGAGCAATTTACAGCTCTCATAAAAGTGCAGTTATTTTTTGTAAAAATAACACGGTAACTAAAATAAAAACCAAAAAGTCATTTTTAAAAAATTAAAAAAAGTTTAATGCATAATAAACTGCAGTGCTTTTTAAAATATACGGTTGTTGCAAAAAAAATTAAAAAAGTGCGCAGTTTTAGGTGCAAACATTTTATTTATACTTATAATTTGATATCAAACCAATTATAAATACTAAAAATAATTTGCTTTTTCATTTGAGTTTTTTTTTTTTATATAGTTTCACTATTTATTAACTTTTACTAATTTTCAATGCAAATTTAAGATTAAATTTTTAATGAAAAGGAGTCATTAAGTTTAATTGTTTTTTAATGTTACAAGCATTGTCAACTTTTTTGTTTATGTTATTACTTTAATGTGTTATTTTCAAAGTATATATACAAATATATACTTTTTTAATATTAAAAAAAACATCTTTACTTTCAACAAGGCTGAACCACTATTACAGTTAGAAGTTACTGGACAAGAAGTGATTAAATTAACAATTAACAGACAATTGCAATTAATTTGCAACTCTTTCATAAGAGATTGCAAGTTATGAGAATCAGGAAAACAAGATGAAAGGAGCGAATTCCAAAGAACTGATGTTTGACAAAAAAAACTAGACAAATTAGAGTTTTCGGAGCACTTAGGAACAGTCACAGTGAAAGGATGAGACTTAATTAAATGAAGAATAACATAAGAATAAATTTTAGTAAATGCACAAGAGGCTAGCTAATTAGAGCAGTGCCAATTATAGTATTTGTAGATAAGAGAAAGAGAAGTAACATTACAACAATGTTATAACGGTTGAAGGTTGGCTGCAAGAGCAGGTTCAACTATGTTTACTAATCATTTTTGCACCTTGTCTAAAAGAGAAAGAGCATCATTGGTTTATATTTGACTGTAAAAAAAATTGATTTAAAAAAAAAAATCTCACAATGATGTCATATACTAAAATTCAGATATTAAAAGTCTTTGGAATTGAACGCGCTTAAATAAATTATAAAATACTAGCAAAATGCAACCCGGGTTTTGGTCGGTCTGTTACATAATTAATTTATAATGGCCGTTTTCCACAATTTAATGTTGCAAAACCTTAACTAATACCCTTTTAGAAAAACGCCTTCAGATTGAAAAAAATAATCTATTCATAAAATTAACATTAAAAGTATGAGGAGGTAAAAAGTAAGTAAGTTTTCTGTTCATCAAGTAAAATTTCTTATATTTCAACGACAATTAATTTTATCATGCCTAGGTCTATCTGTTTCATATGGCAACAATTTCAAGTCACCTATAACCATTTACATTAATAACTTTTTCGAGCCTAATATTATACATCTGTGATCATTAAACATTTTATCAGTGATTATACTACTGTTACAACTGAATAAATGAACGTTTTATATTTTTACAACTGAAAAATATAAAACAAAATTTATTTACATTATTTTAATTTAGCAAATAATTTAGACTACAATGCAAAGTTAATTTAACCTCAAGGCACAATCTTAATGCACAAAAATAATAAATGCATATTATTCATAATTATTAATTCATAAAATGAAGCAATGTCAGTATAAAGTAATATATATATATGTATGTATATATATTCAAATTTTTTCTATTCTTTTTATTTTTTTCTTTGAGATAATATTTATATAGATACAGAGAAATATAAAATATACTGATATATAGGCACATTTATGTAAATAAATTTACCTGTCAAAAATTACAGTCAGTTTTCCGTGATAAATACATAAAATATATATCTAATATAAAATAAATATTTAAAAAAAACAAAATATTAAACTTATTCAAATCAGTAGCAGTTTGATTGTCTAAAATTTTTATTATTAACCCTTCTATTTAAAAAAAGAAACAATTGATTTGAAGTGACTAAAAAGCACTTCAGCTTTTTCCAATTGAACTAAAAAATTAAATAAATCTTGCTTCGCTAAGTTGCCTAGTTCTTAAGAATCTGAAAATAAATAAGTAAAAAACCAAGAACAAACAAACTATTAAAACTGCTCTATTTAAACAAATTGAATTAAACAGAGGACAACATTAATTCTCCTCGAAAGCTGAAAAAGCTTTTCAGCTCAATTTTGCTTGCAGAGCTTGCTTGTAAAACCACTTGAATAAGAAAAGCATTTAAAAAAATCTAGAAACTATTTAAAAATAGTACAAGCTGCATTGAACTTTATATGTTGACTGGACTAATTATCAGTAGATATTTTAAAAAAAATTCATAAAAATATCAAATGATTTGTTTTTCTTTTACAAATAAATACACCTATGATAAATGTGATATTAAAAAATGTAATCAATAAACAAATACAAAGAAAAACATCATAAACGAATTGAAAATCATTGTACATGATAGAGATAAGCTGTTGTGATACCAGTGTAGTTGTTGTTAAATATTGTTTTTTAATGATAAAAAAAATTTATTTATAGTGAAATAGTCTTAAATGACTTTTAGTAAATAAATAAAAGCAGTAAGTTCTAGTAATGAAACTACCTATTATTTTTAACAACTACCCATTTTTAACAACTGACACCAACATAAAGATAAGCCAAAGGTAATGAAATTACGCAAAAAATTAAAAAAAGATATACTTATGTATTTTCAGAATAGTTATAATAAAGGCTAGGCAACAACGTGACCTAAAGCAGTAACACTGCTTGACTGGTAAGGTTGACAAATCTTGCTCTACACATTTGCCATGTCACACTACTTTGAAATCATGGAAACAACATTATATAAACATATATACACATTAATACCCCTATTTGTCATAAATTCAGGTTCGAATCCTTTGACCATTCTTTTCATGTGCTTTCGCCTAGCACCTCTTCACTCTATCACCTTTCTCTTTGTTCTTTATCGTTCTCCTTCTACCCATGATTGCACTCTTTTAGATGTTATTTCTGATCAAGTTGACCATGTCCTCTCTCTTTACCCCTCTGCCAATATTGTTGTTGTTGGTGATTTTAATGCCCATTACACTGAATGGCTTGGCTCTAACACCACTGATCCTGCTGGCACTAAAGTCTTTAACTTCTGCGTTTCTCAATCTCTTACTCAGATGGTTAACTTCGTGACTCGTTTTCCTGACAACCCTAATCATTTACCTTCACTCCTTGACTTATGTCTTGTCTCTGACCCTAGCTTATGTTCAGTTTCTCCCTTTTCTCTCTTAGGTGGTTCCGACCATGCAATGATCTCTATAAATCTTTTTTCTCATACTTCTTTTTTGGGCTCACCTTATCATCGCACCACCTACTACTACCCTAAAGCTGACAGGGATTCCTTTTGTGATTTTCTTTGTGATGGTCCTTGGGCTGATGTTTTTTCTCTCTCAGCTGACAAATGTGCCTCCTACGTAACCTCCTGGATTCAGGAATGGAAGCTTTTATTCCTTCTCGTCGGTTTCAAGTCAAGCCTCATTCTACTCCAACAACTCTCTTGAGAACAAACGGCTATTTATTATTGCAAGAAATCGATGTAAAAAGGTGCTTTCTGATGCTAAACTCCATTATTCTCAGTTCACTAAATCTTGCATCTTATCACAGAAGTTAGGCTCTAAAGACTTTTGGAAAATCTTCAACAGCATTATTAACAAGGGTAGATCTAACATTCCATCTCTCATTCATGGGAATGATCTTATTACCTCTCCAAAGGATAAGGCAGAACTATTTGCAAAGAACTTTTTTTTTAATTCCACTCTTGAATCTTATGGACATTCT